AATATATATAATATATAATAAAATTGTAGAAAATAATATATATAATAAAAATATTATAATTATTAATTATTATAATTCTTAATTTTTAAATATAAAATATTTGTTTGATATATAATTTTTATTTTTATAAAATATAAAACGAGTCGAGCCGAGTTGAGCACGAGCTTATGAGCTTTTGACTCGAGTCGAGCTCGAGCTCGAGCCTTGTAGAATAGTCTCGAGTTGAGCTCGAGCCTTGTACTATTCGGCTCGGCTCAGCTCAAATCCACCCCTAGGTGGGAGAAATGTCATATCGAGTATGACAACTTGTGTGGGGAAGTTTATATTCTCATGTTTCAGTCGGCAAGCTTGTAAGAATTCTCTCCCATTGTTGTCATAGATCGTACATCATAGAATATGGATTCTCTCTCTCTTCTCTAATATAGGTCCTTATAAGGTGTTAAATAGTTGGTTGTAGTCTTCTTCATATAGAGACTTGGAACACACATGACACACTGGTGGTGCCATTAAGAATAAACATAATGCTTTAATTTCGATTTGGAATACTACTAATTAAAGAAAGTAAGAGGCCTATTAAAGATATGAATTGAGGATTCAACACAAAACTTTGAAAAGACTTGAAAGCATGGAATTCAACTCATTAATGGCATTTAGTTTTTGGGTTGTTTATGCAATTTGATGAGGGGTAATTTGGTCCTCCGAATTAGATCGCGATACGTAGCTTCCAACTGACATCTCGGTGTTGAGTAAGCAGATCACCTCAGCTAGCACCTCACTAGGGGCTGACCTAAGGTACCTCGGCCTGGCTGACCTAAAGGACCTTCGAGCAAGGAGCGACCTACCTCAGAGATCGACTGAGCCAAGAAAGATACTATCGGTGACTAGACCTATTCACGGGCCGGGCCGGGTCGGGTCGGGTCGGGTTTAGGTTGGGCTTTGCCTCTTCGCTAACAAAATATGTTCAGGCTTGAGCCCGAGCTTGACCCGACCATTGGGCCTAGGTCTTGAGCCCGAGCCCGACTCTCATATAAAGCCTAAAGTCCGGTTAGAAATTTGGAAAAAAAAAAGATTTTTTTCTTTGTAATTCAATTAAAAGTTGTTTTATTTATACTAAAATACCTCAAAACCTAAAAAAATGAAAAGTCTCATTATTACTTGAAAAAAAGAGAAGAAAAATATCTTATATATATGCTTTTTTATTATATAAAATATATTTTTATTAATATAATACATTATCAAGTTGGGCTCAGGCTCAGGCCGAGATTTTTTTAGAAAGCCCGAGCCCGAGCCCACTGGCCTAAAATCTTGTCCAAGCCCGACTTAGATTGAGCCGGGTCGAGCCAGCCTGTCAGGCTACCTGGCCCATGAACAAGTCTATCGAAAACCTAAAAGGCATGCTCGCTGACTTGTCACATAGATCCATTGCCAAAACAAGTTCTCATGAATATTAACGAGTCGACCGTTAGTTTAACCCACCTACCCGCATCACACGCATTAAAGTCAATTGGACGGACCTTAACCCTTTGCGCAGATTACATAACCGACGTCATTATTCTCTCCCAACTTAATGGAAAAAGTTTTACAAGAGTCTGGGACCCATTACAGAAGGTCTCTAATCACTCACACCTATATAAAGCCACCATTCCTCT